TTGAATTAAAGCTGGAAGTCTGCACTTCGAATTCATTTGGATTGTTTCGTTTTAATTTATTCTGGTGGCAAACAGAGCCAAAAGTATGAAAATTGTGCCTGTGTCCAAATATAAATGGACCTAACTGTACATGTATGCGATTGTGCCTGCACATGCCTGCCAGTATAAATTTTATCAAAATATTTTGTTTGTTTGTTTGGACACTTTTTTATACTATTGGATGATCACAATTGAACGATTGGTATTTTATGTTGATAGTTCATTGTTACTTTGTAAAGGATAGTTAGGTCGTCTAAGATATGTTGCTTGTTTCACAGAGGAAGCATGTTTAGAATGTACTGTTCAGTTTACATTCTGTCACACTGCCTGTATGCTGAGATGACTGCACCCTCTGCACAGCTCTGTCTACATTTTTGGCACAGTGCCAGTGTGTCGGGATGAATGTATATGATGTCACCCCACACTGGCCAATCAAGGCAGCTGAAGACCGGCACTTGGAAGAATCTGGGGAGAAGATATTGTTGAGGGACTTTATGGGCATTCGACCATTGGACCAAAGGTAAGTATTTTTTACTTTAGTCCTGCTTTGAAGTGGAACATACAAATCAATTTAAACCGGAACTAAAGGGAGCTAAACTTACCTTTCCTTCAATGGTAACTGTTCCTCTCCAGCATCTTTTACTGAGTGCTGGTCTTTGATCATCTTTATTGGCTGGCGCAAAATGATGTCACTCCTGCACATGAGCCAGTCATTTCGGCACACAGGGATCATGCTGACAATGTAAGCTGAGCTGCGAATGCGCAGCTCAGTTTACATGATGGAGAACACTGCAAGCATGTCTCTTCTGCAATAAGGAGCCTGCCTGCTTGCAGTTTGTGACAACTGAACTTTAGTTTTCCAGTTACAGTTATGTTAAAGTGTTACTAAACCCTCAACAGTAAAATCAGTCTGTATATGCAGTAAAGCATGCTTGTTATACTCACTGTGGAACCTAAGGGGTAATCCTCTGCATTGTGTAAAAAGGCTTCTCTGATCTCCTCTTCTTCTACTGTCCCCAATAAAGTGCTCTCTGAGTCACTCTGCACATGCTCAGGTTAGTGTGTACTGCTAGTTTTTTTTCTTTGGGAGGGTGCATGTGATCAGCAGAGGACCAATCAGCGCTCTCCAGACAGAGGGTCAGGGGTCATGCAGCTTTATAGGACAGTCAGAGCAGAATGAAAACTCCTCCTATACGTTTAACCGGTGCTCGGCTGGACACTGATAGAAGTCACAAGACTGCTCTAATTACTGATGAGAAAAGGTATTTAGCAGTTTATATTTACTAAAATAATTGCATTTCCATGTTCTGTGTACTGAGGGAGACCAGATATAGTGAATGCAGGGTCCTGGGTTTAATAACACTTTAAGGAATGCCATGAATGATAACTGCCATGGTTGCTTGTACCCTCAAGCAAGGATCAAATGGCTGGTGTCATAACTGATCAGATGTGCAGCATCATGGCAACTGCAAACCAAACAGAGCTTCTTTGACTGTAAAGGATAGGCAGATTTGGTTCCACTTTAATGCTGCAGAGAGAGCTTTTGATTGGAGGAACATCTATTAACGATTTTGACAGGTCACAACACCAGGCTCCTATCCTGGCTTTAGCTTCTATTAATTTTATTTGTCCTCTGCCTGTTTTTGAATTCCAAAGCAAACAGAGTTAAAAACACAGAGGCGTAGATTGAAGCTTGTGAGCCCCAATGCAGTAGTTGACCTGGGGCCCCCCCACCACCATACAATGCTTCCACAGTGCGCCAAGATACTCCAAGAGCCTAAAGATTTATTTCAGATCTTAATTTACATATTGAGAGGATAATTCAAAAGATTTTGGAGAAACTGTCCACATTTTATTATTATTATTACATCGAGTTTATATAGCGCCAAAGGGTTTGCTCAGCGCTGTACAATAGACAACATTTTGACATAACTCTCCAATTTTGAATACCCTGGAGCAGGGGTAGGTAACCTTTGAGAGGTGGAGATCTTCCTGAACATGAAAGAGATCAAAGATCACCGGGGTTTGGTGCCCTCCTTTTTTTTTTAAATAGTAATGAAAACTTTAAAAACTATTATAAAACAAATGTCATTGTAAAAATATAAACTTAGCCTACCTTAAACTTGGACAGTGTCAGTAAGAAGAGCAATGGACAGTGTCAGTAGGGCAGTGCGATTGTGTCAGTAAAGCAGTGGACAGTGCAGTAGGGTCCTCCTGTTGAGCTGATGGGGCCCGGTACAACAGGGCCAGCTGTACTCCCTTATCAGTGGCCCTAGCCCAATCAGCTCAACGGGGGTACCAGGCAGCTTTAGAAATAATTTCTGCCAAACAAAGGAATGGGGCTTACTAAAATACAGTGGGACAAAAAAGTATTTATTCAGCCACCAATTGTGCAAGTTCTCCCACTTAAAAAGATGAGAGAGGCCTGTAATTGACATCATAGGTAGACCTCAACTATGAGAGACAAAATGAGAAAAACAAATCCAGACAATCACATTGGCTGATTTGGAAAGAATTTATTTGCAAATTATGGTGGAAAATAAGTATTTGGTCACCAACAAACAAGCAAGATTTCTGGCTCTCACAGACCTGTACCTTCTTCTTTAACAGGCTCCTCTGTCCTGCGCTCATTACCTGTATCAATGGCACCTGTTTGAACTTGTTATCAGTATAAAAGACACCTGTCCACAACCTCAAACAGTCACACTCCAAACTCCACTATGGTAAAGACCAAAGAGCTATCGAAGGACACCAGAAACAAAATTGTAGACCTGCACCAGGCTGGGAAGACTGAATCTTCAATAGGCAAGCAGCTTGGTGTGAACAATTACATTTAAAAACTGGCACTCACCTATAGTGACAGCAACTTTTTTTTTTTTCTGACCCCTGGAACGGATTAATTGGTTTACAATGCATTCCTATGGGAAACAGCGTTTCGGGTTACAAATTTTTCACAATACGAAATGTCCCAGAGAATGCATTAAAATTCGTAAACAGAGGTACACCTGTATTAAAAATGAAGTAAATGGCATTTTTGGTTCGTGGTGCTCAGATACACTGCAGTTCTCCTTTAAGTCATAGATGTCAAGCAAGAAGCAATAAGGTTACACTGGATTCATGAGGACACACTGGGGAAAGCCTGACAAAGATTCCAGCGTCGGTACTTTTATGTCCCAGGCTTCAGTGTGGGAGAAGCCATTGAAGTCTATGCATCCCACAGGCTTCTTCCCAGCCCTTTGATAACGTGCAGGGGCACAAAACGCGTTACCTAGGAGCCCGGTTGGTGATGTCACGCTGCACAGGCCACGTGGAAGGCCGGCGGCCATCTCTATTGCTGTATAGTACAGATGTGAGTGCAAATTCTTTTACTTTGATGTGGATTAATTCAATAAAAACATACTACACTATCAAAGTTCTCTGCTTGGGCTCGGTTTATTGCGAGCCCCCCTTCAAGGTGGATTCTTGTGTGCTCCATGCTTACTATTGGGAGTGGTCCCCCTGCTGGATGGATGTATATCTGTTATACCTGGAGTGTGATCCCCCTTCTGGATGGATGAGTATTATTATTATTATACAAGATTTATATAGCGCCAACAGTTTGCTCAGCGCTTTACATTTTAGTGGGAGACAATACAGTTCAATACAAGAGGGATAGGAGGGCCCTGCTCCTCGGAGCTTACAATCAAGGAGGGAGGGGTTAGTGGGGTAAAAGGTAATAACTGTGGGGGATGGAGTGGTTGGAAGAGTAGAGGATTCCAAAATTAGCTGAGGGCGGGATAGGCTTCCCTGAAGAGATAGGTTATCAGTGATCCTTTACAAGTGAGCAGAGTAAGCGATAGTCTGATAGATTGGGGTAGAGAGTTCCAGAGGATTGGAGAAGTCCTGGAGTAATCCTGATACCTGGAGAGTGATGACATGCTGATTACCTGTCATTTGGTTTGCCAGATGATCACCTGATCCTCACCTTTCCAAATCCAGATGACCAGGAGTGGTCTGATTACTCAAATGCGCATTCGTTTGCGCTATCTGGTTAGTGCATTGTATACTCATTCATAATCACTGGAGTCACGAAATTCACTTTATTATTTATTGTTGGACTTCTAAAAGACTATTTACTGATTTATAGCCATTTATGTCACTTTTGCACTTTAAAAACGTCACCCTCTAGACATTTTCCGCACATTTATCTAAGCACTCTACAGCACGTTTTATATTTTGGTACGTTACATATTATTTATAGAATTTCAGTGCTGCATTGATTGGTTTTGTACGGAAAAGGTCCTGGCACTCGTATACCCATTTATATCTTTTAATTGGCATTTTTGGTTCGTGGTGCTCAGATACACTGCAGTTCACCTTTATGTCATACATGTCAAGCCTCAAGTCAACACTCATGGGCGGACTGACCATTTGGAAACTCGGGCGCTGCCCGAGGGCCCGGGGTCAGTAGGGGGCCCCATGAGATGCCCCTGGTACCTTTTTCATAGGCTTTTTTGAGTTTGGGCAAGGACACAGGGGCCCCATGATCCCCTATTGCCCGGGGGCCCCATGAGTTGTCAGTCCGCCCCTGGTTACACTGGATTCATGAGGGCACACTGGGGAAAGCCTGACAAAGATCCCAGCGTCGGTTCTTTTATGTATCAGGCTTCAGTGTTGGAGAAACCATTGAAGTCTATGCATCCCGCAGGCTTCTCCCCAGCCCGCCCCGGGCCCTCCTGACCTCTACAGAGGAGGCGGTGCACGTCTTAGGACGCGCCGCGGACGCCGCTCTGATGACGTACATCCGGAAGGTGAGGTCAGATCTTTCCTGTGCCGCCATTTCGGGTTTGGTGAGGTCGGGATCGGTTGGAAGTGGCCCGTGTGCTGCGTGAGTGACGACGGGCGGCGTCGGTGGGCGCCTAGAGCCGGGTTGAAGGCATACCGGGGAGCGGCGACAAAGGGGGGAGGAAAGGGCCATGGCCGGCAATTTCGACTCCGAGGACCGAGCGAGCTGGTACTGGGGGAGGCAGAACCGTCAGGAGGCGGTGAACCTACTACAGGGCCAGCGGCACGGGGTCTTCCTGGTGCGGGACTCCACCACCATCCCCGGGGACTACGTGCTGTCCGTCAGCGAGAACTCCAAAGTCTCCCATTACATCATCAACAGCGTCAGCAACAACCGGCAGAGCGGTGAGCGAGGGGGAGGGGCTGGCTCTAATAGAGTAATGACGGTACTTTATGGGGAGCTGGGGTGATCAAGACCCTGGGGCTGTGGGGGTTGGAGCAGGGGCAGGTCTGTGGTGATGAGAGGCCCAGGGCTGGCTTTAAAGTGGTATCAGCCTTCATTATATTGCAGCTTACCTTTCATTAGCTGTGATGGCTGCATTAGTTTTTCTTTTCTTTACTTGCTTTCTTCTAATATCACCTGCCTGATGATCCAGCAGCTGTTAGCTTTTAGCAGAACAGACTGTCCTGTAGATGTAGCAGTTAGAGCAAGAGTGTCAAATTGGCAACCCTCCAGCTGTTGCCAAACAAGTCCCATGAGGCATTGCAAGATTTACAGTTACAAGTATGACTCCCAAAGGTAGAGGCATGATGGGACTTGTAGTTTCACAACAGCTGGAGGGCTGACAGTTTGACACCGCTGAGTTAGAGGTTTGAGAAGAGTGGGGGCTTACCGAATCAGTTTGCTGCAACTGTGTATGACGTGTTGGCTGGAGTTTGGCTTTAATTTATGGTATCTAAATCTGCTAGTAATCTAACACCCCGTTAATATCACTTTTGTATAGGTAGGTTATCGGGGGGGGTGCTGGAGTGATGAGGGGCCTGGTGCTGTGGTAATGGGGTGCCCTTGCTTGTAGTAATTGGGCTATTTCATGTCTGTTTACATGTTAGTACCTGGACTCCTTTAATAGCAGTCCTTGGCAGTGTGTTTACAAGGTTGCTATCCGTGTAATAACACATCAGTCCTAAAGTACAGATCTATGGGTGCTTCAGTATATACGTCGATTAGCCATAACAGTACAACCACTGACCGGTAACGTGAATAACATTGATTATCTGGTGACAACGGCATCTGCAAATGGGCAGAATATATTAGCCAGCAAGTGAACATATTGTCCCTGAAGCTGATGTGTAAGGATTGACAAGGGCCACACTGTAATGGCTAGATGACTGGGCTGAACATTTCCACAACTGCAGCTATGTTCCTGGTCTGTGAAACCATAAAACAGCACAAAACATGAAATAAAAAATTATACACAAATCATAATAAATTCTGTGGTTATAAAATAAATGTCCAAAACCACCAAAATGAAAATAAATTATAAAATTTGTGTCCAACTACAAAAAGTGATGAAACCAAAAACAGAGTCCCCTTTAAACATGCAAATAGTGCTCCAAAAAAATGTAGGATAAGTGTAATACAGAGAAAAGACTCCACGGATCCACACCTTCCTGTGAATACTGATGTATTCTGCACTCACCAGAGATATGAATAAATTGCACTTTATGGATACAATATTATCCCTCCAATTCCCGGGGAAAATTTCCTCTCCATAGCCTCCTCCATATACAAGAGCTTCCTTACATCCAACTTCAAAAGGGATTTCCCCTCATATAGGAAGACAAAGGAGAACCAATAGTACAATATTGCAAAGACTTTCAATTGAATAAAACAATGCTCAGTCTACTCACATTATAACTTAAAATAAGTCGCCAATTGACACAATCTTCCAAAACAGACTTCCTAGTGTAAAACGGATTCCAGAAAGTAAACCAAACTGGCAGCACTGAGTAAGAGATCAGCTCTAAGCATGTACAAGATGACCCTGGAACACACCGACCGGTGTGCACTCCCTCACCCGGATATGACGTCACACGCTCAACATAGGAAAATGTCTTGACGCGTTTTGCCCCTCCAGGGCGTTATCAAAGACCTGGTCTGCAGTGGTTGGGACCAACCAAAAATGGTCCAAGGAAGGAAAACTGATAACAGGGTCTTGGGCTGCCAAGGCTTATTGCTGCACATGGAGAACAAAGGCTGTCCTATGTGGTCCAATCTAATAGTTACTGTAGCTCAAATTGCCATAAAAAAAAAAAAAAAAAAGCTAATGCTAGTAATGATATAAAGGTGTCCGAACACACAGTGCATCACAGTTTGTTGCTTTTGGGGGTCCTTAGCTGCAGACCAGTCAGGATGTCCATGCTGACCCATGTCCACAGCCAAAAGCATCTACAGTTGGCATGTGACCATCAGAACTGGACCTTGGCGCAATGGAAGAAGGTGGCCTGGTCTGATTATTTTTCTTTTTCTTGTCATACGGGTGGTGGGGTAAGTGTGTCTCACTCATCTGTGAAAGAGATGGCACCAGGATCCAGTATGGAAAGAATCAGACCAGCGGAGGCAATGTGATGCTTTGTGTAGTGGAGCCCATGCCTCAATGAGTCTGGCTTTTTTTAGCAGAAGAAAGTGGAACCTACTCAATAATAGGTGAACAGTGATAATGTTATGGCTGATCTGTGTCTCCGTGTGTATGGATGGATAGATATCTGACGGCATTGCTGTCACTAACATATACACTGCAGGAGTAAGCACAGAAAAATCAAACACATTGAATGCGTACTTGCTGTGGTTTCTTTTCTATTAATGATTTTCTGATCTTGCTAGAATCAGTTCCTTAGCACAGCCCCTCCTACCTTGCATATCTTAGCCCTCTCCTCTCTTGCAGTGTCTCCTTCCCCACTGGTTGTTTACTTGCCAGGCCTTATATGTGGCCACTGATATCACCAAAGGGCAACATACAGTAATGATGTCGTACTAAGAAGAAGGTTTTCAAAAGTTTTTTCAAATATCTGAAAAGTGTGGCGTGCATTTGTATTCAGCCCCTTTATTCTGATACCCCTAACTAAAATCCAATGAAGCCAATTGCCTTCAGAAGTCACCTAATTAGTAACAGTCCACCTGCATGTAACTTAATCTCAGTATAAATACACCTTTTCTGTGAATCCCTCAGAGGTTTGCTAGAGAACAATAGTATATTAGCAGTATAGTAGCATCATGAAGGCCAAGGAACACACCATACAGGTCAGGGATAAAGTTGTGGAGAAGTTTAAAGCGGGGTTAGGTTATAAAAAAAATATCCCAAGCTTTGAACATCTCACGGAGCACTATTTTATCCATCATCTGAAAATGAAAAAAGTATGGCACAACTGCAAACCTTCCAAGACATGTCTGTCCACCTAAACTGACAGGCCGGGCAAGGAGGACATTAATCAGAGAAGCAGCCAAGAGGCTCATGGTAACTCTAGAGGAGCTGCAGAGATCCACAGCTCAGGTGGGAGAATCTGTCCACAGGACAACTATTAGTCATGTACTCTACAAATCTGGCCTTTATGGAAGAGTGGCAAGAAGAAAGCCATAAGAAGCCTCACTTGCAGTTTGTGAGAAGCCATGCGGGGTACACAGCAAACATGTGGAATAAGGTGCTGTGGTCAGATGAGACCAAAATTGAACTTTTTGGCCTTAAAGCAAAATTCTATGTGTGGCAAAAAACTAACACTGCACATCACCCTGAACACCCCATCTCCACCGTGAAATATGGTAGCGGCAGCATCATGTTGTGGAGATGCTTTTCTTCAGCAGGGACAGGGAAGCTGGTCAGAGTTGATGGGAAGATGGATGGGGCCAAATACAGGGCAATCTTAGAAGAAAACCTGTTGGGTCTGTAAAAGACTTGAGACTGGGGGGGAGGTTCACTTTCCAGTAGGACAACGCCCCTAAACATACAGCCAGACTTACCATGGAATGGTTTAGATCAGTGGTGGCAACCTTTTTTTTCAACTGAGCCAAATCTCGCCAAAACCACGATTGAAATTTATTTTGAGAGCCACATTTTTAAAAACTGAAAATACATCCCCCATATAGTAATTCATCCCCCATATAGTAATTCATCCCCCATATAGTAATTCATCCCCCATATAGTAATTCATCCCCATATAGTAATTCATCCCCCATATAGTAATTCATCCCCCATATTGTGTCAATTCACTTACCTTTGCTCCGCGCGTTCCTCTCGCCGTGTTCCTGCGCCGTTCCGGTCTTCAGGGCGGACTGTGAGAGGAGAGGAGTTCGTCACGCTGCCCCGCCTACATCCTGACAGCAATGTTTGCCACGCTCCGCGGGATTAAAAGGTCTGCCGGGCCATATACGTCCCGCGGGCCGTAGTTTGCCCATTGCTGGGCTAGCTGCAGAGTCCTGACTTTTGGGGCGGCCGCCCGAGAGGAGGGAGGGGAGCGGGCGCCCGGCACACAGAAGAGCCGCATTAAAATGTGTAAAGAGCTGCATGTGGCTCGCGAGCCGCGGCTTGCCGACCACTGGTTTAGATCAAAGCATATTCATGTATTAGAAGGGCCCAGTCAAAGTCCAGATCTAAATCCAATTGAGAATCTGTGGCAAGACTTGAAAATTGCTGTTCAGGCGCTCTCCATCCAATCTGACAGAGCTTGAGCTATTTTACAAAGAAGAATGGGCAAATATTTCACTCTGTAGATGTGCAAAGCTGGTAGAGACATCCCCAAAAAGACTTGCAGCTGTAATTGCAGAGAAAATGGTTGTAGAAAGTATTGACGCAGGGGGACTGAATACAAATGCAAGCCACACTTTGCAGATATTTGTAAACAATTTTGAAAACCATTTATTTTTCTTCCACTTCACAATTATGTGCCACTTTATGTTGTCTATCACATAAAATTCCAGTAAAGTACATTTACGTTTTTGGTTGTAACATAACAATATGTGGAAATTTCAAGGGTATGAATACTTTTCCAAGGCACTGTACTGTTCGAGTAGTTGGAGACTGAAGTCAATGCTGTAAGAGATGGCCGGAGAGTGGGGACATTGCATGAAACTGCTAGAGTTTACTCTTATTAAAGTGATTGTAATCACTGATAGTTTGTTTTAAAAACATACTTGTGTGCACTGGTCAATGGTTTTGCACAGAGCAGCCCTGATCTTGGCTCATCCCACATCCCCCTACCCCGATGCCCCCATAGCAAGCTGCTTGCTATGGGGGCACTTGTGTGTGGGCTTGCTCCTGAGCCAGTGAGGAAAGTGTGTGTGTGCGCGCACGCGCGGTGTGAGGCCAAACCAAGCTCCGTGTGTTTGGCCTTGCTTTCAGGAATTCATCACT